TTATTGAATTGGAGATTATTAAATGAAGAGTTGGCCACTGAAATGTAGCTTGCCTTTCCTGGTGTGCTCTGGCAATGCCATTTGAGAACACATGACCAGTATTATCCAAAGTCTATGTCTTCTGAGTAATGCTAAGTAATGGCTGAACCAAAAATGCTCTTTTATATCCTATACAGGCAATATCTCCTGGCATTTATTCTTTTAGTCCTTTTGGGACAAAAATGAAGTTCAAGGTACAGCCACAAAATCCATTAGGCTCTGTTGGGATTTACCTGTCAGCAGCTTCATCTCCTGAACTTCTGTGAAGCATGCAGTGTCCTTGACTAAGAAATGTTTTCCTGTGTATTTTTTAAAGTAAACATCTGTGAATGTTAAAGGCATAGTGCCAGATACATCTGTGTTCATAGATGCTACTGATCAACTAAGGCTGCTCTGGATAATGATTTGACCTAGTATAAAGTTCATTTGGGTTCATTTATATGTCATTTTGGGGAAGATAATTTTTTGTTTTGTATTATGCATTTATCTCCTCGGGTTCTATATTTATAGGTTATTTTGTGACTGAACTAATAAGCTTTCTGATACACTCATTTGCATATTCAGTATCCTTTGGACAGTAATCTCCATGTGGGTCAGGATCCTGTCTTTGCTTTCTTTGATTTCCACAGACTAATAGCCAGAATGTGTTTCTCTGTAATGGCTCAGATGGTATATATCATATGTGATAGTATAAAGACTAAGGAAAATGTTTTCAAATATTCCTGTGATTCTAATCTCGTTACCATAAAAAAGCATGAATTAAATACTTAACACACCCCTCCCCCACTCATTATCTGTGTTGTTTATTTTTTAACCTGGATGATTTAGTTTCCTAGTCTGAGGTAGTCTAGGAAGAATTCCAAACACATTGTGCCCTTGGATTTAAGTAACCTGTAGTTGGGTTCCAAAATATATTTTTTGAGGTGGGTGGTACTGGGGATCAAACTCATGATCTCGTGCTTGCCAGGCAGGTGCTTATGCCACTGAGCTAAATCCCCAACCCTTACATTAAGTAATTTTGATTGATAATCCTGTTATTTCTAGTGAGTTTTTTTGTTTGTTTGCTTTGAGACAGGGTCTCTCTTTGCAGTCACAGGCTGGCTTTGAGCTCACTTTGTATCCCAGGCTGGTCTCAAACTCACAACAGTGCTCATGCCTCAGCCTCCCGCATGCTGGGATTACAGGAGTGTGCCATCATGCCTGGCTCTAGTGAAGTTTTGATGATAGATTGCTTTCTTAAAAATAAATTTTGTATAAAGTCTTTCTCTTTAAAACAATAGCTCCCTTCCTCATGTACCTGTGGCCTTTCACATGCTAGGCAAGGGTTCTACAACTGAGCCTCTGAACAATACGAAAAGTGTTAGTTTATTTCTAGACCTACTCCTCAAATTCTAATAGATATCTGCCACTTAGCTACTGTTAGTCATACATCGCCCCTGTGCTTAAAACTTGTATCTGCTTTGTCGATGTCGCTCCCGGCCGGCAGGAAGGACACACGACAAAGTCTGGCAGTGGACAACCTTTTTTTTTTATTTTCTCTCCGTACAGCCTGCCCTGGGATCGCTCCCAGCCGAAGCCTCCTCTGGTCCGCTCCCCGCGGCTCCTTCCGTGCTTCGCTCCGAAGCCTCTACCGGTCCGCTCTCCGCGGCTCCTTCCGGGCTTCTCTCCGAAGCCTCTACCGGTCCGCTCTCCGCGGCTCCTTCCGGGCTTCGCTCCGAAGCCTCTACCGGTCCGCTCTCCGCGGCTCCTTCCGGGCTTCTACTTCCCCCCAGGGGTGGCACCAGTATATATACGGATACAGTGTCCAATCATATTAAAGTAAGCAAGGCAAGCTGATTGGCTAACATATTATTGAGCGGGTTGTTTACGCGGTAAGCAGGAAACTAACGTGCTCGATGGGAGGGGTAATCTAACTCAGGCTTTACTCTTTACCACAGGCCGCATGATCGCTATATGCGGCGGCTCGGCAATGTGGTGGCTCCCAACACTGCTTATGTTATTTCTGTGGAAGTCTCTGCAATCAAGTGAGCACCTGACACAGTGTCAGGGGTATAGTGGTAGTCCCTCTGTGCCTATACTGTGTTGGCTAAAATAGCCAGTGTCGAACAGTTCTTTTGGTATACCATGGTCAGAGAGGTTGGGGAATCCCCCAGAGAGCAGGAGCTCCCTCCTGGTCAGTAGCAAACAGTAAAGATCCTGCTGGCTGGTGTTATGCTGTGTGTGATAGTACATACTTGTAATCCCAGCACTCACAGTAGGATCCTGGGAGTTTGAAGCTAGCCTGAGCTATGTAATATTGCAAATTTAAAGCGAGTTTGGGTTACATAAGTGAATTTAGGGGCAGTATGAGCTGCATAGCTAGATTGGGGAGGAAGGAAGGATGGACAGATGCATGGATGTAGGGACTGCAGATGGATGGATGGACTGATTGACCTTAACCTGTTGAAAAGACAGAGCAGAAGCAGAGACAAAACATAAAACCAATAAAAATCAACTTACTTGGCATTTGTAGACTGTTCCACCAAAAAACAGAACACACAATTGTCTAAATGCACATAGAAGCTGGATGTGGTAACACATGCCTGTAATTCCAACACTCAGGAGGCTGAGGCAGGAGGATCTTGCAGGTTTGAGACCAACATGGGCTATGAAGTGAGCTCATGGCCAGCCTGAACTGCATAGTGAGACCCTGTCTCAGAAAGATACACCCCCCAAAAAAAATTTGTACAGAGCATTTAGCATGTTTCGTGCCATAAAGTAATAGGACTGATTTTAAGTTAAGCATATCTACAGTATGTAACCATTCTACATTCAAGTATCAGAAGTAAAGTGCACATCCGTATAAAGTCTATAGTGAATGTTTATAGAAGTTAGTTAAATGTCTGTCAGTAGGTACAATGAACATCAAACTGGTGAATCTGTGCAACGGAATACTACTCAGCAATAAAACATAGTAGACTTTCTACTTAACATAAATAAATGTCATTTTAGGTAGATGTGAAAGGATCTAGACAAAATGAATACCTTCTCTCATACCATGTGTGTAGATCAGTGATTGCCTAGGTTTAGGACACGTAGCACAGAGGATGGGAGGAAGGATTATGAGGGAATGAGAAAACTTGGAGGTGATGGATTATCTATGATAGTTTCAGAGATGATGCATACATCAAAACACAGCGCATTGAAATTGTACACTTCACACGTGTATAGTTTATATGCCTCAGTGTAGCTGTTTAAAGTATAAATAATCAAATATGGCGGCCAGAATTCTGACATTCTGTTGTACTGGGAAAAGCCCTTACCAATTTGTGCTTCTGTACAACCGGAATCAATGGAAAGTATTAGGAATCTAAGAAATATTCTCCGTATTTCTCACTAAAGAATCTTTAATTAATTGCTAATTAATTCTGAGATAGGATTTTGCTTTGTAGTCCAGGCTGTCCTTGAACTTGCTGTGTAGCCTTAGGCTGGGCTAAAACTCTGATCCTTCTGCCCTAGTTTCCTGATTCCTGTGAATAAAGGCTTGCATTAACATGCCTGGGTGGAAACATTTTTATATTTAGCATGGTTAACAGTTTAGTGTTACTTTTTTTCTTTTTTTTTGAGATATGGTTTCACTATGTAGTTCACGCTGGCCTTGAACTGACTTTGTACCCCAGGCTGGCCTCGAACTCACAGTGATCCTGCTTTGGCCTCTGAGTGCTGGATTTACTGGACTGTACCACTGTGCTGGGCAAGGTTTTCTTAGTAGCAGTAGGATATCTAATGAGGAGCTCAAAGGAATAGAAAGTATGGCAATATTAATTCAAGGCTCCTTCCTGCCTGTTGAATCAAGATCAGATTTCTGAGCTGGTGGCTTTTGATGTGCCCTGTATGTGGTTTGGCTCTGCGTGCTCTATTTAGTCTTGGTTCACCCTGGCCCCAGAGTGCAATGTGTTCTGTGTCACTGCCTTAGTACTTTTCACTGCCTGTGGTTCTCATCCACCTCACCTCACTTTATCCTTCTCTGATAAAATCCTATCTGCCATTTAGGTTTCCATTTAGATGCTAATACGCTTTCTCTGGTGCTCTGTGGTTCCTCTGTGTTCTCTGTTAGTAGGAGTTAGTTTGTACTTTGTGCCTTGCACTATGCTATGTCTCAAGTGACTTTTACCGGTGCCACCTCATGGGTTCCTTTTGTGTTTTGGACATCCGTGTTGTGTAACAGAAGAGTTCAGTGGGAGCAGCAATCAGTGAAAAAACTAAGCAAAGTCAGTCATTCAGTTTGCCTTCTATTTATTTAATACTCTATTGGACTTATCCTTTACATTTATTTTTCTTTTTTTATTAGTGCATGTTCATAGTACATCATTGCATTCATTGTGGGAATTTGTTACACGTATGTGACACATCTCCATTCTTTTTAAAATTTGCTTTCCCCTCTACCCCTCCGTATATTGTTTCCCTTCCTTTTTGTAAGTTTTTTCTCCATTTACTATTATCTTTCATTTATTAATTTTATTGTTGTTAATATCATTGAGGGACACCTATAGCAAGACAAGCAGGTAAAACCAAAATTTTACTTTGTTTTTGAAGCATGTTGTATGGCCGTTTGATTAAAGCAGAAAAGTGATAGATTTACTCTCTTCATGACATACTATGGAAATATTTAAATATATGTTAACCTCCCCACAACCCCAGATTCTAGAAATGGGCAATGGCTTGTGGGGAAAGGGAAAGGGAAAGGTAGTTCATAGCTTTCAATTACCTGGACATATTTACTTTGAATACCTATAGAAATAACTGAGAATAAGAATTAACGGAAACGTGTCTTAACATTGAATATTCATTATGTCATGAAGAAAGTATGAACTTGATAGAAGTCCTGAATATTTGAAAAAGTATGTTTTTGAGATTTAACTTAAAAGGTGGCCTCTAGATTGTCCACACCCTTGCTCACTTCTTAAATTTTGTTTTTCTAGGTCCGGACCCTATTTGTCAGTGGTCTTCCTCTGGATATTAAACCTCGGGAGCTCTATCTGCTTTTCAGACCATTTAAGGTATGTCTTCTATCTTTCAGGAATTATAGGAGATAAAAAGACTATCTACTGCATAATTCATGTGGGCAAAAGACTAATGAGTAAAGGAGTTTGCAATTGAGTTCTGATGTACAGTTTCTGGCTAATTGATCAAAACTGCCTTTGGACCTTGTATAGCTGATGCAGAGTAGACCTGGCTGAGGATGAGTCATCATGCTGCTGGCCACAAGGTCTCGGTTCTTGGCTCTGTGTCCAAGAGTCGTAGTGATCTCACTGTTTGTTCTATGCTAGTTGCAGGATCCACTCCTAAGCAGAGGTCATGAAACAGTTAAAAATTACTTTCACATATTTATATTTCAAATGCAATAATGTAAGTCAAGCCCTATTGTTGGTGGCTTCTTTATTAGTTGGAGTAATACTGTTGGTACTCTCTTTGGAGAAATGTAGAAATTGGCTTTTATGAGCTGGATTAAGAACCTGACCCCGTTTTTTTTTTTGTTTGTTTGTTTGTTTGTTTGTTTGTTTGTTTTTTTTTTCCTATAGCCTAAATCTTGTTTTAAACAGAGTCAAACAAGATTTTATAGGATACCTTTGTATGAGTCAAGGAGTCTTTCCTGGTATTTAGTGAAATGTTTAATGCATTTGCCTGTCTTTCCTCACTATGGAAATAAAAATCACTTAAGAGATACTTAATGTTGCTGGAATTGAAACCTTAACAGGAGATTGGACTGGCACTGAAATAACCTTAGTACCAAGAAGAAACTTTGAAGGTTGGCCTCTGGAGAATAAGAGGAAGCTAGAACTCATCAGAATGTATGCCTGGGAAGCATCATGAACTCAGGGCCCCTGTCCAGGAGGTCTGAGTTGGTCATTGTGTGTGTGTCACAGCAATCTTGGGCAGGAGCCACTCTTAGATTAGGCAGTGGGCAATCTTGGTTTCAAATTGGAGATCCATCCTGCTTGAGGCAGAATAGTTTGAAGAGAAAGATGCAGCTTGGTAGAAAGATGGAATTGGATCTAATAGCTGAAAACATTGGGTTAAAATGAGGAAAGAAGATTGCAGGAATGACCAGGTTCAATGAAAGTATAGTTCATGTGCCAGTAAGCACCATGGGCACAACTCCATTGTGACAATGAACAACAATACTGATGACAGCATGGGAGGAAACAAAGGCTTGGTACAAGGCTGGCTAACAGGAAGTGGAAAAGGAAGAGAAGGTGCTGTGGCAACTCTGTAAAATTTTTTCAGCTGCTTCCACAGGGCAGCAATTGTATAAAAGGGACAGGTTTCTGTAAAAGATGAGTTCTTTTTTAAGCTCATCTTCTGTCAGACAAAATACTGTTAATTTTTTATATACATATATTGGGAGGGCCAAGATGCATTTAAACAAAATGCAGTATTAAGATTTGATTAGCTAGACCTTTGTACGAATCATCTCATTTAATTAGTCGCAGTTCTTTAAAGTGGATTAGCTCTGGTTTTTTTCAAAGGACAAAAAAAGTGGGCGTATTTGAATTAGTGCTGCTCTAGTTTACACACATGCTACATGGCAGAGGCAAGGTACACATTTGACTCTGTTACTGTTCTAAAGTATAAATATTGTTCCTTTGTAACTTTAGGACACAGTATATCCTTATCAGTAGTGTTTCAGTTGAGTGAAATACCCTTTATCCTTTGCTTCCAAGGCTTTCAGAGTGTCAAAACCACTGGGATATTTAGGAGAGAGCCCCTAAATGAAAGGAAGAGCCAGTAGTGTGAATCATGACTTTTGCAGCCATGCGCTTAAGGCCTTGGAAGTAAAATGTTTATAGTAGCTAATTGGTAATGGAGTTTTCAGCTTGGAAGATGTGAGCATGAATCAACCCAACATCTTGGTATCCTACAGAGGTACCTCAGTGCTAAAGTCGGGACCTTGCTACATTTCTAACAACCTTCTTTTAATTAAAGTCCCTGGCAGTTGACCTTGGTCTGCAAATCTGACTCTGCCTGATGGGTGTAGTATAGTCAATCATGTCAAGTGATGTTTTTCCTCCTCTGGTATCATCCATCAGTGCAAGCCACCAACCATTGATTATTTTGTGAAATAAACACATTTTGGTAGTCTTATCCTGAAGAACCAGGGTTGGGGCAGGGTGAAGAGAGGTAATTAAAGGAAGGCATATTTTCATTTTCTTGGAGGCTGAACTGGAGTAGAAATCCAACAGGGCAGTTTTCATGTTGCAATAAGAATACCACCGTGAGAACTGGCAGCTTCATTAGGTAAAGAGGAGCACTCAGTCTAATGTAGTATCATTGCCTTGTTTGGTGGTTTTAAAGTTTTGGTCAGTGACTTGTACCTAGTATATGCTTAATGTGTCACTGTTTTGTTTTGTTTTGTTTTGTTTTATACTGGGAATTGAACTTATGACCTTACACTTGCCAGGCAGGTACTTATGCCACTGAGCTCCTGGCCCATGTCATTATTTTATAACAAGTATATGTATGACCAAGTCAAACTTACTTGCTGACCCATGTTATTACAGTACCCTCTTTCCTCTCCTAATTTTATAAAATCTCTATTCCTATCTAGACCATGAATGCAAAAAGATCTGTTGACAAACACATCCATTTTCCACCCTTGCATAATTTCATGAAAAAAATACAAAGAAGAGAGATGCAGATAAATGCATAAATTTCAGGGCTTGATTTATTTTAGGTCTCATATATGCAATTTGTTTGCATGTGTGTATGCACGAACACACATTTTCCCAGCTTTGAACACATTTGTGAGAAGAATTGGTAGTGATAAAAGACTCACTTTTACTTGAGCAGGATGATATTACAACTTTTTCAGTATGTGTTTTTGGTTTTGGCTAAATTTCATTCTTTATTTTCAGGGCTATGAGGGTTCTCTTATAAAGCTCACATCTAAGCAGGTAAGAATTCCAAAATTTTGTGTAAATGATTACCTTTGTAATCTGCTTCAGCAATGTTGATGGTACTTAATTTTCTTTTTTTATTCCAGTTAGGATTTAATTTTTTGTTGTTGCCTTTGTAGGTGACATTAACTACAAAATTAGCACAGGAAGATTTGTAGTTCTGTGATCTCCTGCTGGGATGTTTGGGAGGTAGTAATCAGTGGCTCTGATAGTTCCAACAAGCTACTTGGATTACCTGTATGCTTTTTTCCTTTTTTCTAAAGCTGAACACTTGACAATCTCCTGTCTCCCTGGCTCATCAGAAATAAGCTATTATATGGTCAGCCTTCTGAACTGATGATGTGGTGTCAAAGGGTTAAGGGCCCCTGTTTACTTGCAACAATGTGGTTTACATGCCTGATTAAAAACAGGACTTTAAAAAGGCATCTTAGGATCTGAGATGGAAATTTTCACGTGTAATTTTGATCATACAGTGAGACTATAGGGCTTTTATCATTGTGTCATTATATTCCTTGCACTTACAGTGTACCAAAAGGTGATTCGATTCTCTTTTCATTTTAAAAGATGAAGAAACTGAGGTACAGTGAATTTGATTTAGGAAAGTAGAACCTCTCCAACCCAAATTTTCCTCTCTCCCCTTATTCACTGCTGCTCACCTTCCAACCACCTCTGTATTTTTTTTTTTAATTCTCTAAATCCCTGGCTGTGTCCTTGAAGAACCACCCTCACCATCCTTTTGATTCATGTTAAAAATTTAGCTAAGCCACTAAGTCATGATTCTTTGGTACTGGCTTTCTTATTTCTACCCATCACCTGTGGTCGTTTCTTTATCTTAGCTCTTCAGTTTGACATGACCTTTGACAGCTATTTGCTGATTTTTTTTTTTTCATGTTTCTCTTTCTTTCCTTAGCCTGTAGGTTTTGTCAGTTTTGACAGTCGCTCAGAAGCAGAAGCTGCGAAGAATGCTTTGAATGTAAGTATACACTAATGATAGGTCCTAGGGGTTCTGCAGGAGTTGGTGGGAAGTAGTTAGAACCTCTTCGGATCTGAAATCAAATGGAAGGAATATGAATGCTCGATTTAACAGGGAAAGATTCATCAATTTATTTAGTCCCCTAGAGAGCTTTTTCTATGGAGTATGATCATTTCTGCAATTTGTTTCATTGGCTTTTACTAAAATGTTTAAAAACAAATCGATGATGCAGGTTTATTTTAATTCAGATCCTTTATAGCTCACGGTATGAATAGCATTGCTTGTCTTCTCCAGAGGAGATCATAAATATCATCCTGGACCGCACTGGTCTCTAAATGACTAAGCCAGAAACAGAGCAAAGCCTTGGCTTTTCGTATTGTGTAAAGTTATAGGCCCCCTACCACCTTTTCTTTTTAAGGCATGTGGCTTTTTTTTTTTTTTTTTTAACCAGTCATACTCTATTCTGATTATTAAGCATTTGCATATACTATAAGGTTTTCCCCGAACACATTTAGCATTCTAATGTAATAAATTACAGTCAGTTGTACTTTAGCAGAGATACTTGTATAGGCATCTTGTCCCTCATAGGTATTATGAGTTTTATAGCATTACTTTAATAAATATTTTCCCCCTCCAGTATGTTAAAAAACAAAGCAGTTTAAGGAAACTAAGCCAAAGGAACAAGGAAAAAAGCAGAATTTAGTTTCAATGGCAGAAATCTTACTGGAGTTGGGCTCTTGTGTGCTCTAGGCAGTTGGCATAAGCAGCTGTGAATAAATGTTGGTTAAAACTGGTCAGAGTAACTAGGTTGCTTCCTAAAAGGCAAGTGGCCACTTGACCATTTGTAATACAAATGTATGTGTAGGTTTCTGGCAACTTGTTACCAAGTTTGGGTTTTTAAGCTACCTGTAACTGTCCCTGCCAGCTGCTCCTTTGAGTAGACCACACAAAGAGAGTTAGAGACCTGATGGCGTGATGAGTTGGATACTGTGATGAGTTGGGAACCTCAGGGAAAGCCTTTATGTGAGTATTTACTCAGCATAATGGTGTCATGACCCAATCTTAAAATGTTTTTAGAGTGTGAAAAAAATATACACTCTCAAAGAAGTAGCTTGGACATTTTTCATGCAAAGCACGTAGGAACAAACACACCTTAGGACTCAAGGATCTCCTGAAGAGTCTAGTTTTTCTTCATTTGGATAAATGACTTTTGGTCAGAACAACTGCCTTCTCATACAGAATAAAGTATAAACCAGTTATTTATCAAGTGGGAGCAGTAAACAGCAAAGCCTGGTGCATAATTAAATGTTTTTATGTAAAAAATTACTTTATGGCCTTAGAATATAGCTAAACAGTAGAGTGCTTTCCACATATTGATAAAATCCTGGGTTTGAGCTTCATCTCCTCAAAAAAGAAAAAGGAAAAGAAAGGAAAACTGGTCTGATTTTTGCATTGGATTGATGCAACCAGAATTTTCTCAATGTAACCCTATTTTAAATTTAAAACCATAAGTTTTTGTTAGGCATTGTTTTCTTTTATTCTAACCAGGCAGACGTCTTTCTAAATCTTTAAAGTTATGTTGGATGATGTTTCCACTGTGTTGTTTCCATTATTCCTGCAAAGAAAGTAACAGTCATTGAGGCACGTTCAGAGTGGGGTCTTTCTTTCTTTGCCTTGCTTTATTTGTGGTACGTATTTTGAGATGGCACTGATTCACTGTGTGAAGAACGATAGGTTTTACCAGTGACCTCTATCTTATTTCCTTAGGGCCTGTTTTTAATTTGCTTTAAACAGATAACTGAAGTTTATTGCTTTCATGATTTTAAACAATGTTCAAAACTGTTTCTTTCTAAATAGAGTGCATTTTAAATAGGGTACAATGAACATAATTTCAGTTTTCCTTGTTGCTTGAAGGTTATTATTAGAAATAGAGGTTTTAAAGCCTCTGGCCCATGTGCCAACTAGCCCCGGGACCACTGTTTTCTGGTTCTTGGTCAGATTGTGCATTATTCTTTCCATTGTGCTCTGCTCTCCCTTCTTGTCACTGTCCACAATCTTTGTACAGTAGCAGTATCCTCTCTCTAATCATTAATGCTGCTTACTTCTTAGGAAGAATCCCAAATGAAAGAAATCTAATTCTGTTCTGTGTATCTATGGAAATGCTTCAGATTCCACTATGGTGTAATGACTGTGTACTTTCAGCTGCTTGGGAGCATTGTGAATATAGAGCATATACTGAGCTCCTGGTCAGTCTCTGACTTGACATTTTTAACTCATTTTAACTGTTGAAAGTATTACGGAGGGGGGTGTACCTTTAAAACTCTCCAATTCTTACAGTTAGGGACATAGACCTTGAGAGGTGTGATTCAGCTTGGGTGGAAGATGTAGCAGGGATTCATCTCCACGTGAGGCTCTGTATGCTTTATAGCCTCTTGCGCCTTGTTTTGTCCATGGACTGTTGTTATTTCCCTATGGCAGTAACAGGTTGTTTAATTCACATCATCCAGGACAAATGGCCATGATACAGTCTGGTATGTGATAAAAGGAGCAAAGTTTCCTTTCTCTGCAGAGAAAATGGGCCTATTCAAGGTAACATACTTAATCATGAAGCTAATATTTATCTTCTCCTGTGACCCAGCACACTGGGCTCTTTTCAGGTTTATCTTTTCAAATTGATAACTTAAAAACGTATGAGGTTCAGTGCCATTACAAAATTTTCTCTTCTCATGTCTTTGTTCAGGCTTCTCTTGAAAGCTTTTCTTGGAATTCTTTTAGGGAGAGTGCAGTGTTGTAATGTTTTGTTTTATTCTACTATTAAGAAACTTAAGGCTTGATCCAGAAAATCTCTTTATATAGAATAGTAACAGTGGTAGGAATTGCTTGTCCATGTTTGGAAATTCTTTTTTGTTGTTGTTGCTATTCTCTGTGTTGGTTACAGTCTGGTTCATTTGTTAGTGTTAATTAGTCTTTTCTCAGAATGACTTTTTAAATCTATTTTCTGCCATTTTAAGTGAAATTAAAGGATTAATTTCATAATCCTTTTGAAAAAGACCTGCTCAGGTTGAATTATGTGGTAATATTGTACTTGTATCTGGACATTATTGAAAACCAGGTAAATAGAATATTTTTGTTTTTATACTACAGTCTCTTTTTACCAGGCTAACAATAACTCAAACCGAGATTTCCCACCAAGTTAGCTATGGTGTCATAAATCCACAGGATTAGAAATCTCACCCATTGTTTAGCAAAATACCATGTTTATAATATCTGTATAATGAGTGCTTTAATATTCCTCTTCCATGGAAGATGTAACTGATAACCAATTAGATCAAATGACTCCTAGGATTTGTTTATAATATTGGAAGGTCAGTCAAACATAATCAAATACCCTGATACTAGATTGATTGACAAAGAATTCTGATTTGTGGAAATGGTAAAAAGACAGAAAGCTGAGCAAGTCCAAGGAGATAAAGACCTTCAACAGATTCTAGGATAATGCATTTCTGGGTATTTGCACGAAGTATGAGGATCCTAAAATTGCCATTGATGTCTAATAGAAAATTGAAGAATTAAGAATGTTTTTTATTTATAACATTTAAGATCAGACATCAGAAGGTCATGCTTATGTGTAGCACCATGACAAGCTTTCCCTTACACTGGTGTTAGAAATTGGCTCTCTTGACTTTTCGAGGAACTTTTAAGAGGTTTTGCACATACACTGGTATATTGTTGCAGCTGCCTTTGAAACTAAACATTGCTTAAACCAGTGTATTAGTTTGCCCTACATACAAGCTGTATACTCACTGATAAAAGTGTCTCTTAATTATTACTATATTTTTAAAAAGAGCTTTATTTAGATGAAATTTACATGCTATACAGTTTCCTCTTCTTAAAATTAAAATTCAGTGAGGTTTGGTATGTTACTGTTTTAAATTCCAGTAAAATAAACGTTTTGGAAAATTGCCGTGTTGGTAGTTTTCAGATATGCAGTTCATTACCATTAATCAGATCCACCATGTTGTGCAACCATTACCACTAGCTACTTCTAAAACATTTTCGTTAACTCACGCAAAACTCCTGTAGTCATTGAATAATAGCTCCTAGTTCTGTCTTTTCCCTAGTCCCTGGTAACGTCTAACCTACTTTTAGTCTCTTAGGAATCTGCCTATTCTAAATATTAAAATATGTCTTTTTGTTTCAGGGTATTTCATAGCATAATGATTTTGAAGACCTGCCATGTTGTCACATTGACAGGAATATAAATTTTTTTTCAGTGCTTAACATTACTGAGGCCCTCATAACTTACCCTGTAGCCTTAGCCTGTAATTCATTTTATTTTGTAGATATACATACAATATTTTGCTTGCTCATTCATCCGTTGATGGACTCTGAAGTTGAATGCACACTTTGGCTTTTGTGAATAATGCTGCTGTGAATATCTTTGTACAGTATCTTGAGCCCATTTTCAGTGACTTTGGATGCATACCTCAGTGTGAAATTTCTAGGTCATATGATAATCATATATGTAACTTCTTGAGTATCTGCCAAACTGTATATTTTCACTAGTATTTTATGAGAGGGTACCAATTTCTGTTCTTCCTTTATGTATTAATAGGTGAAGAGGAAAAAGCCTAACCCTTGGATTATTCATTCAATAAGACAGGAAGTAAATATGTTTTTTCAAGGACTACACAGATTCTGGAATGAAAAGCAGTTTTGTTTTGAAGTAGAAAAAAGTGGCCCTCCGAACTTCTAAAGCAAAGAAAGTTATATAATAAGTGGAAAAACTAAGACAAATAGACTACATATATGTACAGTAGCATGAAATTATTTCTTGATTTTTGATAAAATTTATTGACAACAGTTATAAAGCTCAAATAATTTCTAAGAAAACATGTTTTAAGAAATCTTAATGTGTCACAAGTTAAAAAAAATGATGTTGTTGGGAAAGCTTTTTTCTGTATAATTCCTGGCATTCAAGCAAGCACCAAAGTTATTTA